GACTGCAGATGAAAGCCAGCAAAGAGAGTCACAGAGAATGAATAAAAGAAATACATGAGCAAACTATAAGAAGGAAGAGTAGCAGATGTATTTTAAATAATTGGATTTAAGAGGCACCTGGGTGATGCAGTCGGTTAAACATCTGATTCTTGATTTTGGCTCAGGTCATGATCTCAAAGGTTGTGAGATGGAGCCCTGCATTGGGCTCTGCGCCCTGCTTAAGATTCTCTTTCTCCCTCTCCTTCCTGCCCCTACCCCCTGCTTGCACTCTCTATTGCTCTCTCTCTCTCTCTCAAAAAAAAAAAAAAAAAAGAATCTAAAACTTATATGGAGATTAAAATAAAATGGTTCCGGGCGCCTGGGTGGCTCAGTTGGTTAAGCGACTGCCTTCGGCTCAGGTCATGATCCTGGAGTCCCAGGATTGAGTCCCGCATCGGGCTCCCTGCTCAGCAGGGAGTCTGCTTCTCCCTCTGACCCTCCCCCCTCTCATGTGCTCTCTCTCTCCTCTCATCCTCTCTCTCAAATAAATAAATAAAAAAATCTTTAAAAAAAAATAAATAAATAAAATAAAATGGTTCCATGAAGAAAAGAATGTAGAACAGAAGAACACATTTAAAAGAAAAAAAGACCTAGCACTGATGTGACCAAGGGTTATTTTGTGTTTATTTTAAAATAATGCCTTCCAAAAAAAAATGAAATTAAGAAAAATAACATCTTCCTTTTCATATTGCCTTTCGTGAGAGAGAGTCACAGCATATGGCTCTGTTTGGTAAAAAGGGTGTGAATGTGTATTAGAATTGGATCAAATTTTGCCTCAGTGTAAGTAAGGTATGTTGTTAAATCAGCAAGACAGATACTTTTTAAAATTACATGTGACAGTAAGTAGTAAAAAAAAATTTTTTTTTAACACCAGATTGGTATTTTAAAGTAACACTTTGAATTCTTGAGAGAACTTTCCTTTTTGGAAGTAATAAAGATAGAATTACCATAATAATAGGAGAATATGGTCATTGGAGTCCACATAACTTTGTTCACCTCCTTGGACCCTGCATTACTTGAGGCTCTTGGAAGGTTTGTCCCTTGCTTCTCATCTGGACTCAGAGCATTATCCCTGCAGAGCCTTGTTTTAGTGGACTGTGAAAGACAGGCTGTTTTCCATTCTAAGGGGGAGATTATGGACTTGTCACTTTAGACACAAAGGAGTTTGGATTTAACTATAAATGTAATAGGTTAATTAGTTTTAACCCAACAAGTGTTGCTCTAGAACTGACTCTCCAGAACTTTTAATACAAGGGCATACAGAACTGGACTGTAGCCCCGAGCCTTGCCACGAAATATCTGATTAGGATCACCAATCTGCAGGAGAGGAGTGGGGCTGACACAGCCTATGAAGTTGGAAGAAGAAAGGACAAAAAGAGTAGAATCATTTCAGAAATAGAGCTTTGCAGTAGCATAAGGCAAGGGAATCTAAATGGCTAACTTTCTGGCAACAGGTTAAAAGAAATCTTCAGCTATAGCATGGGGTGGGTGGCCTCCTTTCATCTCTGTGGAACCTGATTGGAGTCTGGCTAATCCTTCAAACTGGAAACTTCCTGCTCCTGGGGTTGGTTAGACCTGAAACTCTGCTCTACAATCTGAAGGAGACACATGCTCTTTTGCAAATAAAATTTACCTTTGAACCAATCTATTTAAAGGTGTTGAACTTAAGTAGTTAGAGAAGTCGGTGTGATTGAAAAAATAAGGTCATGAGACTAGCAGTGTTGAAGACAAAGCTTTTTATCAGAGAAACCCAGTCTCTTTGACCCTGGGTCAGTCCGTCATGGGACACCAGGATAAACTAAGATGAGGTGGAACCCCAACCCCTTTTTGTCTAGGGCACAGGTTGTCCATTTAATGGGCGATTACTTGATTAGCCATACAGCCCCTGCTTGTGGACCCAAGAGAATGTTAAGCAGTTTCCAAAAGCTCTGCGGCCCTTCTGTGAACGCGTTCATTTTATCTCCAGCCTGAATTCTCCCTGGCTGCTCCCATGCTCGGGTCTCACCACCTGCTGGACATCTCCCGACAGGATGCCTCCTCAAATCCACGAGACCTGACCCATCACCCCCACCCACGCCCCACGTGTGCTCTTGCTCACGAGTGCTCTGCCTCCCTGAACTGCACAGCCTCTTCTCCAGTGGGAACGCCAGAGCTGTCTCTGACATTTCCTCTCTGCACCTCTCTCAAGTCAGTCAGCCCCTCAGCCCTGCTGACTCCATCTCAGACAGCTTTGTTTGGTACCTTGGCCCTGGACGAGGCTCCCGTTACCTCTTGGACTCACCTCAGCAATCAGAGCCTCTAAGTGTGTTTCCCGTTTCTTTCCTCTCGAGGCCATCTTTGCACCAGAGTGAGATTTCAATGCGGGAATCCAATCCTGTTTATCCCCCGCCTTAGAGACTGCCAGGGCTTCCCAGAGCTGGTGGTTTCTCCCTCCCAACACGACATTCTAGATCTTCCACTTGTCATTTGTGGCCTCGTTCTGAGGCTGCATATCATCAAGTCTCACCCCAGACTGCATGCAAAATGCCAATGGCCCAGCCCAGACCAGTGAAGTCAGAACATCTGGGGATGGATCCCAGGGGATGGTTCCCTGCAGCCTGGCGGTGGGGGGGGGCGGGAGGAGGACATGCCAGAACTGTGGCTGCTTGATTGCATTCCACTGATGTGACTCCATCCCAGGCTTTCAGCCAGCCCCGACTGGAGGTGTGTCTCAGCTTTGAGCTCACCATCCTTCACTCTTGAAGCTATTCTGACCTTGACCTGATGCCTTAGTCCCTTGAAGGACTGAGGCCTGCCCAGCCTCCATTCTCTGCCAATGCCATCTCTTACAACTGGAAGGCCTTCTCCTGACCTGTCTACCTATCAAGATGCTGTTCCTTGAAACAGGTACATTTTAAAATGCCACATCCCCTAGGTAGAATCGGTCCCCTCTGGTATGCCACAGCACTTAGCATAGGCATACAGCAAGGAGGCAACGGATGAACAGTTGTTGAAATGCAGATACATGTTCCTATAGAGAGATTCTGGCTGCACGCGGCAGCTTCAGGTCCTTCGGAGCCAGCCGTACCCTCAACACAAATCCAGGAAAAACTGGAGACCGTTAGTCCTTGGTTATAGGAAAGCAGATACATGTACTATTCAACCTGCTCTGGTTTTTATCACCAGGTAGAAAAGGTTTGTTTATCGCTGTTGTTTTAATGAACTATAGATGTATCATACTTCCACAAGGCATGTATTTCTGAAAGAAATGGGCTGGGCCATTGGCATTTGAATGCTGAGCAGCACAGATTTTTAGCACTTTTTACTGAATCGCTGTGTTGAAGGGGATTGGGCACACAGCAGACAGTAGTGTTAACAGCCCCCACAAAACGACGAGATTGAAAGGTGGCTGTTACTGTCTCTGGTTTTCTAGTTGTAAAGCTTCACAGTGTGCAGAAAAGCTATTTCAGTCTCAGAAGAGATTCATTTACAAAATGTTCAAGGAGTTCTTTTGAAAGTGAAAATGCATTTGTCTAGACTAACAAGGGGGACTAGATTGTAATCTATTATGAATATTTGTGAAAGTGAAATACTTGATAAAATACTCTCAAGTATTTTAAATTGATCTCCTTTTCTCAAGGTTAATTTGGCTAAGACTGAGGCATCTTAGAATCTTAAAAAGTGATTTTAATTTTTGATTAATTCACTGGTATGCAGGAAGTAGTATATACGTTTTAACTACAATATTAACATTTGAGCGCTTAGTAGGTGCTAAGCACTGTTTCAAGTACATTCTGTCTGTGGACTTACTCGTTTCCTACATATTATCATAATCTTCCATTTACTTTCCATCTTTCGTTTTGGGTCGGTATGCAGTTTAGTGCCCCCTTCTTCAGTAGGAGGTCCACGAAGGCAAGATTCAGAAGTCCTGGGGCACCCGGGTGGCTCTGTCAATTAAGGGTCCGACTCCTGATTTCGGCTCAGGTCATGATCTCAGGGTCCTGGGATGGAGGCCCGCGTTGGGCTCCGTGCCCAGCATGGAGTCTGCCTGAGGATTCTCTCTCCCTCTCTCTCGGCCCCTCTCCCCACTTCCTGTGGGCATAGGCATGCACACACCTGCTCTCTCTCTCGCAAATAAATAAATCTTAAAAAGAAAAATCACGACAACAGTCATGAAACCCTAGTCAAACCACTTTAACCTCTGTGAGGTCTGTAAAATGAAAGGATGGATCAGCTTCTTTCTCTGAGGTCCTTATCTCCATAATTTTATGAATATTTCACAAATGTGTAATTTAAAGGTCATTTAAGCATTTCTGACCTTTTGTGTTATGAAATATACCTCCGTAAAATACATACTACCTGTATTTATAGATTAATGAATAATGCTAAATAAAATAACCATTTAGGTACCACCAGGCCAAGAAATAGATTATATCCGCCTTCCAGAATGTGGCCTTGTGCCCCATCCCCGTTCACAAACTTTTCCTTCTAGAGGTAACCATTAGTCCATCTTCTGTGATAACCATTTCTTTGCTTTTCTTTATCATTTTACTGCCTTTAAATCTCTTTACTATCTTTACTCCCTTAAATAGTACTGCCCGTGTTTGAACTTTACCTGGTGAAACCATATTATATATATCCTTTTGTGATTTGCTTCTTGCTATATTGTTTTGACAGTCCTGCATGTTGATGCTTGTTGTCGTTTGTTCACTGTCCTCTCCCGTCTATGGATCCATTCTGCTGTCAGTGGGAATTGGGGTTGGTCCTAACTGGGATCTGTTGTGAATCTAGTGGTGGATCATTGTGTACACTTCCAGCTGTATTAAACAATGCCAAACTCGAGTCCTCCTCCGTCAGCAATTAAAGAGCATTCTGATTATGTCACATCTTCGCTAACACTTTCTATCTTCAGACTTTGATTTTTAACCAGTTCATAGGGGTTTTTGTAAAAGCTTTAATCACTGTTTTGTTTCTGACCACAGCTTGTCTCATCCCCGTGAAACAGTCTCCCGTGAACAAGAAAGTCATTATCATCTTAGAGAATTTGGAAAAATCTTCATTGTCTGAGTTACTGGGGGACTTTCTGGCACCTTTGGAAAACCGCAGCACCGAAAGCCCCTGGACTTTGCAAAAAGGTAAAGAGAGTGGCAAGAGCCTGCCCAGAGTAGGAGTTGTCCTTCATGTCCCTCTTTCTTAGGCTCGTTGGACTTCGCGTTTGTCTCTTCGTACGGCGTGTTGAGGTTGGGCCGTTGCTTTTGGTTTGTTTTAGGAAATGGACCATCTGAATGTTACTACTTTCACGAGAACTGCTTTCTGATGGGAACCGTTACCAAGGCCTGCCTCCAGGGCGCCGACTTGCTGGTGCAGCAGCATTTCCGCTGGGTTCAGCTGCGGTGGGACAGCGAGCCCATGCAGGGACTGCTGCGGAGGTTCTTACAGAGGAAAGCAGTCAGTAAGGTAACGAAGGCAGCCTCTTGCCAGGGGGAGGGGCGGGAGCGTCAGGGGGCCCCCGGGCTGGAGTTCTACCACTTGCTGACCGTGCAGCCTCGCACAAGGGCAACTTTTAGATAACCCAGAGTTAAAGAAGATGACGCATATAAAACCTGCAACAGTTTCTGGACTATGTTAAGTATTAAAAAAGAAAGAAAGAAAAGCAAATAGGTTTTACTCCTGTAATTAACTGTTCTTGACGAGGAGTCTCTCCAGGTTCTAAATGCTATAGAAAGCTATCTCAGGAAACTAAACACTCGTTTCAGGAATGGCTACTGCTTTCTCAGGGCCTTCAAAACCTTATCCATCCACTCAAGCTGGTTTTAACGTATGACTGACACTGCTCCAGAGTAAATATTAAAAATTCACATGGAAGATTAAAGTTCCCTAGCTTTTGACATGTTTTCAAGCGTGATTATAACTCCTGGCAATTATTGTGGAATAAAATATTCTGTATCCTCCCAAACAACAAAATTAGTGCTGACCAAACCTCGTACATTGCTATTTAATTAATATTCTTAAGGCAAGCTAGGATCTGAGTGTCGAGATTGACTGGAAACATTAGAGCTTGAGTTAGTTAAGACTTCGTCCCTTAATCCAGCACTACAGGCCACATTTGGAGGGGGCAGTATCTTCTATCACCATATTTTAACCTGTAAATAACACAACCCCCACTAGGCTACCTACTTCACAAAAAGGCATTTTTTTCCTCACATAACCAGTGTCTCGTGGTAGGTGTTGCTGACGTCTGTTCACTGCCGTGATGTCAGGTCCTGGGTCTATAGGGGAAGTCTCCTGAGCTCCCCTCAAGATTGCAGGATGTCAGCAGGGCCTCAGGCACCACACCCACACCCAGGCATGTCAAAGGGGGGAACCTGGATGCCACTACAGGGGAAAGAGAGCTTAGGCCTTCTCAATCTCCTTATCAGGGAGGAAAACATCTTTTTCTGAAATGTCCAGAAACAGAAGACTTTTCCTGTTTCATTAATCAGAACTGGTTTTGTGCCCACCCTATTGCCCCAGATCGTGGCTAGACTTACCTTCCCAAGACGGAAGCTCTCCCCCAAGTACTTGAACAAAATTCTTTGTGCGTGCGTTTGTGGGTGGGGGATCAGGGGAGGAGAGTGGGGAGAAATATAGAGTGGGAATGGTTTTGGTGATTCAGTAAACTATGCTTGCCACTAGTGCTGGGAGTTAGTATCTGAAATTCCTAATTTAATCAGAGAAATCATCTATCTCAAGCTCTGTTAAAATCCACTGGCTGGTAATAAATACATGCTTTTGACCAAAGCTAGGCCATCATATCATGTCCACCAGTAGGAAGAAAAGTAAGGTAAGGACAGTCATAGGTGTGTAGCTTTGCAAATTACTGATGCTTCCATTAATGTTATCATTAATATTTAAATTTCTTTGCCAAAAAGAATTCACATAAATAATCACAAAAGATACTAGTTTTTTTCCTTAAAAACTTTTTTTTTTTTAAAAGAGCAGTTTTAGGTTACATTAAAAATGAGAGGAAGGTACCCAGATTTCCCACATACCCCCTGCTTCCATACATGCCTAGTGTCTAGCACTCACCAGAATGGTACATTTTTTTTCACCAAGGATGAACCTACATTGATAAATCATAATCACCTGAAGTCCATAGTTTACCTAAGGGAAAAATATGGAAGGCCTCATGAATTTGCATGTTATCCTCTGAAAAGTCCCAGTTTTATTCTGTAGATGTGGCACTATTTCAGGTAAAATGGACCTCCCCCACATCCAGCTCACTGGTACACATAGTTTATAAAGGATTTAATTTACTTCCACACTGTGTTTGAGAATGGGAATGTGGGGTGTGCTGTGAAGAATAGGAAGGGGGAGGGATAATGCCTTTCGCTTACCAAGAGTCACTTCAAGTAGGTTAATAAAACAGATTCCTTGGGTACATGTGCAATGGGAATGAATGACTCCTGCAAAACCTCAGAAATCTTGTAACTGTTTAACAGAACCAAATCTTTGGGGAGGGGGTACTTAGACATGCACCGGCTCTTGATCACAATTTCTTCCTCCAATTCCTGAAAGGAATATAAGTGAAGAGGCCTTTCAGGACAATACCAGGCATCCTACTGGTATTTAATAAACAATAATTGTAATTTTATTAAGAAGAAGTAAATATTCAATTATCATTAATTGTAGTACATGATCTTATTCTTGCAGGAAGAGTATCAGAGAAATACAACTATTCCTCTTTTGAAGAGAAGGGAAACTGTAAGAGCTCCCAAGGCCTTATGTAACACAGTAATACCGTTTTAACAGAGCTGCTAGGATCGCTGAACCACTCTTTCGTTTTGACTTGGCCAAATTATATCCCTTCAAGTAGGACATACCCATATTCATAAACTATCCCCAGTCTTAATATCATAATAACTTGGTAAAACCAAGATTTATAGGAATCCCTTTCTTCTAAAGTACTGAGTTAACTGCTGTATCTGACTTCTAAATAATTGAAGGATATTTCTCCTAATACTAAAGAAATCTTTGTCCTTTTGTGAAGCCTCTATACTAAAAAGGGACTTGATTTTGTAGAACATAATTCTAAAAACTGCTACCATCAAACCATGTATATTATGTTCTATTATTTAAAATTTGCATGTTTAAAAATTTCAAAACAAATTTCTTTATGTCAGCAGAGTTCTGTACATTTTGATGAAGTTAGCATTTTAGTTGAGACCTTCCTCCTAAGGAAATTAAAATTAATACAAAGTGAACATGCCACAGATCTAGATGGACCATCTTGTCTCTTAACCAAATATTGTTTCATGAAATCAAAATCCTTTTTTAACACCTACTTACTATGTGCAAGGCCCTGTGAAGTACTTTGTATGCATGTGGATAATAATTTCTACCAGAACTGATAGTTAAGAATTTGTGTAAGGTTTCCTAGTCTTCTTACTGCTCTTTTGTGTCTGAACGCTTTCATTGCACGTAATAAGCTACAGATCTGTATCTCATGGAACACACATAATAGTATTAGCTGTCCCTCCTTCACCCACCTCAGGTGGATCAGATTCAGCTAGTTTTTTGTTTTACAGTTTTAAATGTTTGTATTTTTCATTTTTGAACTGTTAAAAGAAGCACTGTTCTAAGCCAAGCCCCACGTCCGGACTCTCTGTCTCTGTAGTTCAGAGGTCAGGTGCCCTCCCCCTGTGATCCTGTGTGCAAGACCGTCGACTGGGCCCTGGCCGTCTGGCGCCAGCTCAACTCCTGCCTGGCCCGCTTGGGCACACCTGAAGCACTTCTCGGGCCAAAGTATTTCCTGTCTTGTCCTGTAGTCCCAGGACATGCCCAAGCGACAGTGAAGTAAGTGTTATTTCTCCTTACTTACCTATTTAAAATAGAGCCATGGCCAAGGAGCTCTGCACTTCCCATCAGAGGACGACCGTGACTCATCTGTTGCTAAGTAGCTCCTAAGGAAACTTTTTACTAAGAACTAGTAAGTAGCAGTTTCCAGCTGTTACAAAAGTCTCCTCAGAGTCCTGTTCAACATACAGTGCGGTGTCTCCTGCAAAAGGCCTACATGAGAAATTCATCGAGGATCTTATAACCAAAAACGAAAGCTTACATTCTGTTGATGAATTAAAAAGCTTCCTCCTTGGGGCGTCTGGATGGCTCAGTTGGTTAAGTGTCCAACTCTTGATTTCTGCTCGGTTCATGAGCTCGAACCCCGTGTGCTGGGCGTGGAGCCTGCTTAAGATTCTTTTTCCTTCTGCCCCTCCCCCCACTCTCTTTCTCTCTCTCTCTCAAAAAAAGAAAAAGCTTCCTCCTTTATTAATGATACTTAAATACTATGTTTTCCTTTGTAACAGCTTATGAGAATAGACATATTAACAATAAAGTTAATGAAATAGAAAATCAAGAGGAAAAAATGTATCACCATCCAGCTTAGTAAGGTTCTGTGATTAACTGTTAGCATCGATTCTGTACTTTCTGGCATCCTGGGCAGAAATCCATTTTGGAAAGCAGGGCATACAAATAATCTATCTTCCTATTGTAACAAATGGTCAATTTCAAAACAGCTAATTGGGGGAAAGGAAGAATTACAATAATAAAATGTATACAGCGTTTTCTTGCTGAAGAGCAGAAATATATTTATTCATGTAATCACCTCTTTTTTCATCAGTATTATAATTAACTTTAAGCCTTTCTCACATCCAGAGTCTCAAGATTCTTGGGAGCTAATCTGGGCCTTGCCTATCATTGCCAACAACTACAGGGACTCTGCTGTGAGATGCGTACGCTACTTGCAAGCTAGCAAGTTCGGCTGCTGCAAGCGCGTGACTCCGGGTCAGAAGCCGAGGACTCCAGCCCTGAGCGCAGCCCCAGCCTGTCCCTCACCCACGCAGTGGCTCTCCCTGCGCCTCAGGCCCCGGGGGGGGGGTGACGGACAGTGGCCCATGGATCCCAGCTGCCGAACTCGGAGCTTGAGAATCCCCCAGGCTCCTAAAGGGGGCTGCTAGCAAATCTGCCCGCCTTTTGCCCTGGAAGGAAGTACCACTTTCATTATCCTAGTAAGGAAAACAAATCTGCCTTCTCCAGAAGGAGACATTGTCTCTCTCTTCCAAGGCTGTTTGCATTACTAACTAACATCCTTGAAAAGAGAGCCAAGAAGTGGACACTCGATGTGCAGACATGCCATGGAGGATTGTCTCCCAACAGCTGTGTTCAGGAAGCGCTACTTTTTTTTTAAACCAAATCTTACCATCTTTACCCCTTAATACCTTTAGGAGTGCTTGCGCAGGTCTGACACATGGTACAGAACACCAGATTTTTGTCTTTATTCCCCTCTTACAGTTTTCTTTTTTCTCTTGAATTACATATCATTAGACATTAACAGAGAAGCTTAATATACAGATGCTTGATACCTGGGCAAAAGTTTTAAGTCTTGAAAGGCTTACGCCAATATCTAATAGCTTTGAAAACTTCATTATACTGGGAGATGTGGTTTAGCTTCTACAGCCTTGAAACAAGTGTTTTTTTAATGTTGCAACAAAGGAATTTCAGTTGCTGTTGGATGCCCCAACCTTGGGTAAAGTCCCACTGTTACAGCTATTACTACAAAGAGTCCATCTGGGGAGACAGCTGGTGACCCCATCCCCGCTCTGCAGAGCTAAGCCCACCCACGTGCAAACACTGAGCCTTTGCCTTGGGGTGGAGAGATTTAATTTGCCACTGAGTACAAGAGCTACCCCAATTTCAGAAATATTAAAATATATGTATCTTATTAAGGACATATGGCAAATAAGTTTAAGCTATTTAGACATCGATTTCCAGGAAATCTTCTTTCTAGACTTCCACCTGCAAATTTACTTTCCCTTCCATATATTTTATTTATGCATTCATTCAACACACACTTAAGCATTGATTCCTGCTCTCAGTGATCTTAGAAGGTAAAAGGAAAGAGACATGTGAACACTTTCATCTGCAAAACATTGTATTTTTGAGGCAAAGTCAAATATCTTTGATATTGGATAATTTCACTTTTTTAAAAAATAATTTATTTGAAAGAGTACAAGCAGGGGGAGCAGCAGAGGGAGAGGGAAAAGGAAAGGCAAACTCCCTACTGAGCAGGGAGCCTGATGCAGGGCTCGATCCTGAGACCCAGGGATCACCACCTGAGCCAAAGGCAGCCGCCTGACTGACTGAGCCACCCAGGTGCCCCAATTTCACTTATTTCAAAACTGCCTAGGAAAATTAGCATATCTGTAGAAATACTTAATGTTTTTTTCCATGCTCTTCAAACCCGTCCTTCGTGGTGTGGTGTGTAATCTGTGACCGGACCTCACTGCCAACTGCCCTTCTCTTGCAAGGTGGATGGCTAAGCTGTGGAATGCTATCATTGCACCCAGAGTTCAAGAAGCAATATTGTCAAGAGCCTCTGTGAGAAGACAGCCGGGCCTGGGGCTGACAACTGCTAGAAACCACCCAAGCCAAGGACAGCAGGCTGTGGTTAAAGCTGCTCTCAGCATCTTGCTCAATAAAGCCGTGCTGCATGGCTGTCCCCTCCAGAGAGCAGGTATGCAGGTTGGTGCTGGGAGGGGAGGGGAGGAAATTCACTCTTACATAATACTTGTTTGAATTCATTATAAGGGAGCTCTTCTTTCTTCGGAAGTAAAGAAATTATCTTGACTTTAATGTACATTTGACACCATTGTCCCAGAACTTTTAAAAATTTTTTTTAGTCTTCCCTCCTAAAAATTTTATTTAAATTCAATTAACAAATAATGTATTATTAGTTTCAGATGTAGAGTTCAGTGATTCATCAGTCTTACATAACACCCAGTGCTCATGACATCAAATGCCCTCCTTAATGTCCATCACCCAGTTACCCCCACCTCCTTGCCCTCCAGCAACTCTGTTTGTTTCCTATGATTAAGAGTCTCTTATGGTTTGTCTGATTTCATCTTTTATTTTTTCCTCTCTTCCCCTATGATCCTCTGTTTTGTTTCTTAAATTCCACACAGAAGTAAGATCATATGAGAACTCTCTAAATTATTGGCTCAGTAATTCCAGATCTCCAAGTAAAATTTGCTGGGTCACAACATCCCTGCTTGGGTATTAAGCACAGCCATGATTTTGAAGAATATTTCTTGGAGAATTGCAATTGTTATATTTTACTTGACTATGAAACGCAGGCTCACTGCCTTCTTTTTGGCAAAACATGATTTGTGTTGTTTCAGAGCTGGACCAGCACACAGCTGATTTCAAAGGAGGAGGTTTCCCATTATCTATAGTCTCAAGTTACAACAGTTGTAGCAAGAAGAAAGGAGAGAGTGGTGCCTGGAGAAAAGTGAGCACCAGTCCTCGCAAGAAGTCTGGCCGCTTCTCTCCTCCGTCCTGGAGTAAGCCGGGCCTGAGCGAGGAAGGTAAGTGAGGCGGCCATGCTGCCTGGAGGCACGTGGGCACTCGGGCTCTGCTTTCGGAGTGTGAGTGTGCTTTTACTTTTCTCACTATGCATTCAACAAAGTTGAGGTTTTCAATGCATATTCTCAGGGAATGAACGCGGGGTAGTAGGTACATTTCTGAAAATATCTGGGAGGAAATAATCGTTTGTTTGTGGCATCCACCATTCAATCTATGTAATACAACAGTTGTACTTAGGCCAAGTTTTCTCCTTTTCTGTGTCATCTCTGAGCCAACCTTAAATTTTTTAAAGTATGTATAGAGATACATTTCATACCAGTTTAAGGCCTTCGTGAATCAATCAGTTTTACACATTTCTTTCTCCTATATCGTGTCAGCTTCTAGTCTACACACTGGAGAGCAAACACAAAAATTCCTGCCCTCTTAGGGTTTATGTTCTCCTAAATTATTAAAAAGATTCAATATAATGGAACATCCTCTATAAAAAAAGAATATGTAAGTTTTTATTCAAACAGGCTAAAACATTTATCTCTGGTGTTAGACCTATGCCTTTTGGCTTTGGCAATAGGGTAATCAGTAATTATACGAATTGACTTTCCTGAAGGAAATCCATATTTGAGTAAGAATGAAAAGATGTTCCAACCTCATATGCATTGTGCATTTCTCATATATGTAATTTGGGGAGCCCCTCCTACCCCCAACATATTCTGTTATGTATAATATCATGCCCATTATATAGTAGAGTTGCTAAAAAGAGAGAATATGCCTAAAATTTTGAAACATGAAAAATTGCCTGTGTTCATTAATGTTTTCATACTTAAAAATCAGCAAAATACAGCATGTATTAATGTTAATACATGCTGAAGTTTTGTAATTACCCCATGCATGTGTCCATAAACTGTGACTTTTTTTTTTTTAATGACTGAATGTAAAGTCACTGAATGAGAGTTTCCTTATACTTTTTTAAGGTGATTGCTGTGTATCTATAATATGATATTCTGATTTTAAGAGCTTGCCATTACTTCCCAGAGTTAGAGTGTTTGATTCAGGGAGTCAAGTCATTAGACATCAGCCCCCTCCTAAGGCATAGAGACTGCTGAGATGACCTCTGCAGCAAGGATTGTACCTTCCACTTGTCTATCCCTATATGTAGTGCAAAAGAGCTCTAAGATGAGGATTATCTTCTCCATTTCCAGGTAACAAAACTGAGGTTTAGAAACCTTTGGCTGTCTGTCCCTATCACGGGGCTCTGCAACCCATGTTTTTGTTTCTTGCGAGTCCTATGCTGTTTCCTCCATCCATGCCACTCTAATCCCATGGTACATGGAATAATCCATAAGCACTCAAATAACAGGACACCCACCCAGGCTCTTCACTATCGTTTCCAAGTTTATTACAATTTCTGCAGGGTTTAAGACCAGCCTCTGGCTTGAGCCAAATAACTAAACAATAAGCATTGTCAGTGTATACTTTAGAGTGGACAAACAAAATCAATAAAGTGAATATGAATTTAAAACAGTATTAAGTCAAACTCAGAAAACGATTATGTAAAATATTAAAAAGTTAAATTATTGAATATAAGTATAAAATTTATAATTTTATATTTTAATATTTGATATATCAAATGTTATACTCTTGAAACCATATTCAGAAGATTAATAGAATTGTGCATAACTGGGATATTTCATTTTTTATATTGGTAAATTTTTTCCCCAATAGTTCCATTTGATATTACAATGTTTGGGTTGCTATTGGTTTTTCTGACGCCATTGTTTATCAAAATAGAAACCACTTTGCATTCTACACAGATGACAATGGGTGATTATAAAGTTTGGTAAAGACACAGCCTCTTTTTCTCCTGATGTAAAACAGAAAAGCTATGATGTCAGGTCACAGGCTTCGGGAGACGGGGACCAAGCCCAGGCACCTATCTGGTAATTAGGGAAATCTGATAGCCACCCTTTCTGACAATGACAACAAAAATATGGGCAAAGCAACTAGTATAGAGATTGTCTCTGATGACCTCTTCATGAGGATAGATTCAGCTTTTCACAATCATTCTTTAGAGAGAATTTGTGCTAGCAACACTCCTACAATTTTAGGAGAGGGGCCATTCATTTATAAAAGCAATCCTATGCAGGGAACTCCATCCAGAGCTACTTCCCTGAGGAGAAACGCCTCAAGAGATGGATTCAATCCAAAAACAGTATCAAAGAACAGAGTCCATAGTCTGTTTCTTTTATTTTTTCTTTTCTTTTTTTTTTTAAAGAGTTTGTTTATTTATTTGACAGAGAGAGAAGCACAGCGAGAGAGGGAACACAAGCAGGGGGAGTGGGAGAGGGAGAAGCAGGCTCTCCGCCGAGCAGGGAGCCCGATGCGGGGCTCGATCCCAGGACCCTGGGACTGCGACCTGAGCCGAAGGCCGATGCTTAACGACTGAGCCACCCAGGCGCCCCCAGGAATCTGTATTTTTAATAAGAAGCCAGATGATTCTTTTTTTTTTAAAGATTTTATTTATTTATTTGACAGAGAGACATAGCGAGAGAGGGAACACAAGCAGGGGGAGTGGGAGAGGGAGAAGCAGGCTCCCCGCAGAGCAGGGAGCCCGGACGCGGGGCTCTATCCCAGAACCCTGGGATCATGACCTGAGCCGAAGGCAGACGCTTAACGACTGAGCCACCCAGGCGCCCCCATAATCTGTTTCTTTTAAATACAGAGTTCAAGATGCACAGGGACAATGATTGATTCTACTGAAAATGATTACATTTTTCTTTAAACAGGTATCAAAATTAAAGCTGTATCTCAGCTGAATTATAACAGGAATGCCTCTCTGTCAAAACAAAAGTAAGTTTCCCTTTAACTTGCAGCAAACAATGCATGTTTTCATTATTTGTACATCTATAATGCTATTAATATATTTTTAAAAAATAGAGGTCATTCAAATGCTAGTATTAAACTGAAATCTAACGAATGAATGTGTAATGGTAGGAAAATTTTCTCTTGTAGGTTCTTTGGTCTAATGATCAAATTGATATAAGACACATTACCAGGAGAAAAATGAATTTAATTTCCTATGTCTGGGAGCCCCAAAGATAGGAGACTCAGGGCCACATCAGGCAGTTGAGGGTTATATTGTCATCCTCAGCTAAGGAATGGTATAGGGGCCTGGGGCTTTGAGGGGAAGGGGGTGAATCACAGGATAAGAGCAGATGCTTGCCCCGCCAGACTGGGGTATTTCAGATAAAAACCTTAGTTCTGGTAGTAGCTCTTTCTAAATTCTAAATTCTTTTAGGTAAGTTTTCCTTGAGTCAGCAGGGTCTTGATTGACTTCAGATCAAAATAACCCACCAGCCAAAGTGACACATTTTGGGATGGCATATTCTCACCTTCACATGAAAACTAAAAAACACGTTCTTTAAGCTCAATATAACTTAACATAAAGCCTTTTTTGCTTGTAGTTTGTTGAAAAGGTTAGAAGTATTAATGGCTTTTTTATCAAACTTGATCATTAATGCTTTTGACATAAAGACATGATGAACAGGCTTTAGATGACTGATGTTTTAAAATGATCACTTTTTCTTATGTTGCTCCTAGGGAATTATTTTAGCTTACAAATTTTGAGGTACAAAAGATGATTTGGTTAATCATGGAAATGTTTGGGCAGCGTGTAAATAGCTCTCCATTGTAACTCAATAAATTGTGTGTCCTGTCACTTGACAGGTGACATTTAGAACCAAGTTCACAGAATTACAGACGGGGGAATTGTAAAGAGAGAGAAGATGGATAAAGGACACCGTAACACATGCGCCTTTCTGCCAGGCACACTGCTGAATCCATTATATACAGCAGCCTATGTAATTTCCCCAGTAACTCTATCATGTAGATAACCCAGAAACTGAAGTGTTAAGGGAAGCGAAAAAAAGAAAATACGACCTGTGGCCATGTTGCTAGTAAGTGGTAGAGCCAAGTTTGAAATTTATAGTTGTTCCAGGGTATCAAACTGTCCCTCTGCTTCCCCAGTATTTCATGTCTTAAGTTTCATCTAGGCTTGGAGAAAGGGAAGAAAAAAGGACTGGAATGTTCTAAACCAAGTAGATTTCTCGGTGAATAAAATTTTGAGTGGGAGTTGCCAAACTGTGCCATCAAGTGACATTTCAGACTCTTTTAAAGGATATTTAGAAACTTTTCCTACCCGATCCCAACTCCCCAAAACTGGATTGTGGTTCCCACTTTGAAAAACTCTTTTCTGAACTTTGTATTAGGTCTTTAGAGAACGATTTATCATTGACATTGAATTTGGAACAAAGACTGTCTCTGGGTTCAGATGATGAAGCAGACCTTGTCAAGGAACTTCAGAGTATGTGCTCTAGCAAATCTGAATCTGATATAAGCAAGGTAAGCAGTACAAAGCGGGGAGGACATGGATTGGCTCCCCCGACAGGAAAGAGATTCTTTAGAGCCACATCATAACACCCATTCCCTGAAAGAAATTCCTGATTGAATAGTATGGTTAATGCTCCAAATCAAATCCTCTTTACCTTGCTTAGAAAAGCCCTTTCTTCCAAACTATCTTTTATATAAAAAGGAGTTCTATTCAGTACAGCTCGCTTTTCAAAACTCCTCTGAAAGACCTGAGGTTAAAATTGCATGTTGATTGCATTAGCACAAATCACACCCAACGCATTCAGGCATCACGGTTTCCCTAGGCTTTTCTTCCTTTTTGTTTTTCTAATGTTGGTATACAAGTCACCTATCAATAAGAGAGCATCACAGCAGACTCGTGTTATAGACAGAGGAAAAGCCACAACCTTCCTTACAAGAAAATTTGGCCTCTGTAATGCATATAGTCATAACCTTTTAAGCCGTGAAAATTGAGATCCATATATAGAAATCAATGGACCCAAAATCTCAAAGGCAGTGTCAACAGCTTCAAGTTCAACTTGTTTTGGCACTCTTTTAGCTGCAGCAAATTGAACCAGACTTCCTTGATAAAGGCCTTTTACTTGAAAGGGAGGATAAGAAGGTAGTTATAATGTGAGGTTCCACCGAAAGACTCTTAACTCTTACATCTGAACAATCCAAATCTCCGGAACAAAGTCAAATTGACAGTCTGATTTAACCTTGCTGGAAATGAGCTGAAATACTTACCCACTGGAAAAATAGGTAATGATTAAAATCCAACAATTTTGCCTGGACAGATTTTTTTTTTTTCTATAGGGCTCATCATCTGGTCACCTTCTTTTGACTTTTTTTTAAATAATCTCTAAGGAAGGAGGACCTGTTTCTCATGTATTTTCCAGTAGTTTCACTTAAAGGCTTGGAGTCTTTGTTGTGCACAGTATAGGCCTTGAGGGTATGTTCATAGAGCTCCTGAGGGTCAGAGAAGAAGGTAACACATATAGAAAATGCAGATTTTCTATAGTGAATTTAAGTTATGCCTTGAGTGTGTACCTATGACTTGATAAATGGTCTCTTTTCCAGATTGCTGATTCCAGGGATGATTTAAGGAGGTTTGATAGTTCAGGAAACAACCCTGCCTTTTCAGCAACTGTTAATCCAAGAATGCCAGTGTCACCGAAGGTAAGTGCCCATTTCCCTGCAAAATGAGACAAAAAAGGATTGCTGTGGAATGGACTTCCCGAATCTTCTTTCAGTGTGAATCACAGAATTCTTTTTCAACCACAGCTGTGAAAAGAGAAGTATAGTAAAAGTAAGTGTTCAGTAGTTAATCAGGGTTAGAAAGATCACTGTTTAGATAATAGCTTGAAAGAATGATGTAGAAAAGCATTGTGTGTGTCAAAAGTATATATAATGAGACTTCTGTCTTGGTTCTTCTATTTTAAAATGTATTCATTTGAGAACCTTTAAGGTTTCCTGCATTTTAGAATTGCAACAGGCTAAATAATGTAAAGAAAGATCTATCACACCTGAAAAAAAAAAGTCCTTTTTAGGGGGCACCTGGGGGGTTCAGTCAGTTAAGCATCTGCCTTCGGCTGAGGACATGATCCCAGGGTCTTGGGCTGGAGCCCCGCGTCAGGAGTCTGCTTTTCCCTCTCCCTGCTGCTCCCCCGGCTTGTGCTCTATCAATTAAATAAAAAAACTTAAGAAACTGAACTAAAAAGGACTTTTTTTTTTTTTTAAACTTGCCATAATGCGCATTGGCTTCAGTGAGAGGCTTTCCTTTGAAAACAAGGCAGGATGGTAAGTGGCAGAGCGAGGACTATGGTTAATAAAAGCCCAGAGATGGCCCAGCATGGTACTCCTGGGTGAACACACACAATAAAACTACTTCTTACCCAGTAGTTATTTTGTGAGAAGGCAGATTTCATAGAGGCCGTTAGTAAGAGGTGGTTTGTTCACCACGTCACGTGGAGTGTGGCTCACATCCTGTTCTTGTCCCCTCCCGCGGCGGCTGACGAAGACCTGGGGGGTGGGGGGGTTTGCAGAGAGAAGGATTAGAAAGTGAGCATGGTGAGACTATTAAATTATTCATCATCTGCTCACCACAGCCTCTGCTGTCCCACTGCTTCATGAGGTTCCAGTCCCAATTAGTTACACGTGAGCTGTAGGTTTTGGGGGAAGAAGGGGGGGAAGCATTGGCAAGGCTGAGGTCCCAAATAAAAAATACATAACATGATGATCTGTGAAGAAGAGCAAGACAAGACCTTTCTGGCTTGCTATTATCATGTCTGCCTCCCCCACCCTCTCCCCAGTTGGGAACTGTTTAGAAAGCACAGCAAAAACAATTTGGAGAATTGTGAATTCTGGCTGGAAGACATTTTGGTCAGGAGCTGTCCCTCCTGAACACATTTCTTGGGCCTCCGGGACCACTCTTTAGGGTTCCTTGTAGAATAGTCAGTCCATGCAAAGACCAGGAAGAAAAACCGTGAACCTGTTTCTCCAAGGGCCAAGTCACTTTCCTATATAAAAATGTTTACCGGTCGTGACCAGCTGCCATTGTTTAAATGCCTCATGGAGGCAAGGTTTTTGTACCCCTATTTCTCTGTCACAGGACCTTATTGGTTGCTACAATAAGGTACTGTCCACAAAAAATAGTACTGAAAGTGGGATACGCTCAGGGCAACTCAGGACAGCTTGGTTTTAAGAGAGACCTTTAAAAACATGTGTCCTCCTTTACACTCTGGGCTCTTACGCGGTTGAGTTGAGGTGGGTATTAGAACAGCTCCTCCTTCGCACACTGAACACAGGTGGAGGGGCTACCCCGCAAGGGCGAGGAGGTGTTTTTTTCAGAACCTGCCAGCAGAGGGCAAAGTAACACATTGGACAGCCTTCTGAAAGCTTGGCAGGCTCATTTCTTTTCTATCCTTCTGATAAACTCAGCTCGCAGTTCTTGGTTAGATGCCCGGTTCCTTCTGTTATCAGGAAGTAATTCTTTTAAAGTGAGAGCTCTCTGGCTTAGCTGAAATCACTTTCGACAATCCTCATTTGTCACAACAGAACTCTTTACTGCTCCAACAGTAAGGGAATGTAGTGGGATTTATTAATCTGGTGGCAGGTTAGCCTTCTAAATTAAAAACAAATGCACATATTTAAATCACTAATACAACAGACACGGATAGGTTTTCTTCTCATGAAAACCAAGTGACTCCCCCGAAAGCAAAAATTCTCATTTTTGCATAATGAAATCCACTTGAGGATTTGTTTTTAAACCCCAGTGCCCAGATCATGCTTCCTCCACCCCGAGGTTCTGATGTAATTGGTTTGAGGTGCCACCTGGACTTTGATCTGGTCCTCTATTTTGTCCAGCCCCTTTGTTTCTAAATGTATCTTTAGAGGGGTTGATAGAGCTTTGTGTAACTTACATGTAATCCACTATTTCTACACCATCCTCTACACCTTCCTGTCTGTCTGCACCCTTTCTCCCCTGTTCACTTATCACAGCCCTCTACCTCCTCAAAGATCCATCTCACTGCCATCTTCTCCACAGTGTTTTCCTTTACTTGTCTCCCCAGCCCATCCCCAACTTCCCCATCTAGAGAGCAGGGATTATAGTATCCTCCTAGCTTCCAGCAGTGAGTCAATATTGAATGAACTGCTCTAATTTAACAATATTACTTTAAAACTTAATTTGGGTGCAGCACTTTTCTATACAAACTAGTAGTTTTCTTTGAGCTTAATATGTACAACATTGATAAGTAACCTTATATGTTTAATAGAACTTTTGGGTCCTAGCCCAGAAAGCATTAAACACCATGAACTCTCCTAGTCCCAGGCTCTTGTACCTCTAAGCCTTAGGGAAAACACCTCCAACCTGTGCTTAGCTGCCCAAGCACACTCTGTGTAGCAGTCACTGGCCCTGTTCTTACACTCCCAGCAGCTCTCCACAGGCCTGCTATTACACCCTCACACCCCCACACCCCAAGCACATGTTTAACTGCAAGGGAAGCTTCTTGTTACTTCATGTCAGCATTTCCTGTCTCAGACCGTAATGATGCACACCGCCCCCCACTTTCATGATGCAGACGATGGGGTGGACCATGTATCACCTTTTCTCTGTCTGGGCCCTGACACTTACAGATTTCCCTCCCCTCGCTCATAGATTCCATATATCACCCAGCTGCTATCTTTAGCAAAATATGCCATTTCTTCTAAATGTGCCTCACGTGTTGAGTTTCCTGGTGTTTTAGAACAAATTACAAGTTGGGATTGGTCTTACTAGGCCCAGGCCTAAGTCCCATTTTCCAGATTTAGGAAGATGCCCAGGAGAATTCAAAGGCCAGGGGGAATCCACACAGTTACTTTCCTTTAAAAGCCACATTAACTATTTTGCCTGTTAAATTCTAGTTTTACATTTTAAATCTTTTAATGGTTCCATTGCTGTTTAGTTGTATTAAAGGAGAGAAAGTCAGGATCAACTGCTTACGAGGCATGGGGAGCAGCTCAGAGAGGAAGCCTTCCTTCACGTTGGTTGGTTGGCAGAATTTTAGACACTCTAAGGGCAAACACCTTGAGTGAAAGTTGGGAGCCCGAGGTCCGGCCCAGCGTCCTCCCTCTGAGACCGGGGACAAATCACGTCAGCCGTCTAGCTCTGTGGCTGTGCAGGAGGGAAGTGCCCCTGTTACAGCACGGATGGTTTCTGCTCTGGAAGAAACACCCAGAGCCGTGCTCCAGTCTTATAGTTAGTTCATCAACGCATACTTTCTGAGCATTTAATATCTGGTTTCCAGGAAAGCAGAAAAGTGAGGTGACTCACCCAGAGTGAGAGAGTTGATATTTGAGGAGCTGCCTACAGAGACGGTAGCTTTGACTAATCCAGTTTGGTGATGTCTTCAGGGCCAGGACTTCAGGAAGCTGCCAGACTGTGACATTTGATTCACGGACTCTTAGGAGGCCACGAAGGGCCTAAATGAAAATCAGGTGGTAGGTCTGGAGGAAGTTAATCACTCAGCCTCTTCTCTCTATAGTCTGCTGTTTGGTTTTGCAGGAGAACCGTATTCAGGGAGACTCTCCTCCATGCTGGTGCAGAGACACAGAGCAGGAGGTGAGGACGGCGGTTAGCGGGTGGCCACCAGGTCAGACGTGACAGGCCTGTTCTGCTCTCTCCTCTCACAGGGGGTCAGTCCTCTCAGCAGCCATCAACCGGCCGAATGCAGCAACAGTCCATCAAAGACTGAGTTGGGTGTTTCAAGAGTTAAGTCTTTTCTTCCTGTTCCTAGAAGTAAAGTCACCCAGTGTTCCCAGAACACCAAAAGCAGCAGCAGAAATACAAGGCAAATAGAAATCAACAACAACTCAAAAGAAGAGATTTGAAACTTCCACAAAAACGAACAAGTAGGAAAACTAAACAAATAGGCCTGCCTACAATAGTCTCACTCTCAACTTCTATATATTTCACACACAAACCAAGGACAACAAGATGTAAATACCTTAAAATGAAGGCAATGTTTTCACTGTAATATAAAGTATGAGTGCGGGACCACTATTCAATTTTTTTGTAAAGAATGTATTTATAACCAACATTTTGTTGCTTTTTTTTTTTTCTTTCCAATTCTGTAGGATTGAACTTCAATACCAAGAGGTGATGCCAACTTTTCAAGTAGTTTTATAATAGAAATATTGTAATAGTTTTAATCAACATGTTCAGGGGTATTAGAACTGTCAGTGTACTGTATATCTATATATATATATATCTCTGTATATTTAAGAAAGTCCATGAAGCATATTGCGTACATGTTATAAAATGTACAACATTGACTTTTAAATAGAGATAACTTTATGTTCACTTGAATGACTAGAATGGGGCAATAACAAATCATTTCTAAACAGTTACTTTCCATTAAAAGCCATATTAAGTATTTTGCCTGTTAAATTCTAGTTTTACATTTTAAATCTTTTAATGGTTACATTGCTGATTGGTTGCATTATGTATATTTATGCTTATCAGAGTTTGCATTATGACTCCAGAAAATATGAAATTATATAATGCAATAAAAGTGTTATCTTTCTTACAAAAGTTTTGTACCTAAGTGAATATAACTGCAAATGCTTCAATAAATTAATTTAGTTAACTCCCTCTTCGATTTAATTCTAGTAGCACAACTGATTGATAAAAGTTGATATTTTCTGGAAGTGTTTCTTCAAAAATTACTAATGAAATGACATATACAACTCAAAGTTAAAATGCTTTGACATCAATAAAATATTGAATTAGTGAAATAATTTTGCCGTAGTTTCTATTTATAGCTCTTAGTAGTTTATCCATGCAACAGAGATTTGTGTTCAATTATAAAATGTGTTCTCCCTGTTGGTATTTCACTAGCTGTTCACAGAAAGGCCCACCCCTGTTAGAAAATGTTAAATAAAACATTTAAGTGGAGCTCTAAGAATTAGGTGTTCAGTAAACAAAACATATATTTCTCTCATAAATACCCCCCAAAAGGTATGATTTTATACCAAGAATGATTTACTTGTCTAAGAGTATTATAAGCCCTCTCTTGGCCAGAATGGTTATTTACATTGAAGTACACACATGTACACTGATACTATATTAAACTTTACGAAAAATATCTGCAAGTATCTTAATGGGTGTTTAAGATTATGCCACAAGGGATGAATCAGAGAAGATCTTTCTAGCAGGGAAGAATTGGACGGCAGACTGCAAGATGTCTAAAGAAGGCATTTAGATTGGGGGTCTTTCAAAATACAGGTAGAGATCTAATGGATCATTATATCAATTTAGTGAGTCACAACTAGCAATTTTTAGAAGTAGAATGGAAAATGTCAGTATGTCCTAGTGTCTATCAATCAAAGTAAAAACATTTTGTGACGCCTTTGTTTCTATGACATAGATGTAAACATGAATGGGCCAGGCTGGGATGTGAGGTCACGGCCAAAAATCTTTCAAAGTCAATACAATATAAGGGAGCCTAGTGGTGGGGGTGGCTTGGGGTAAGAAGGTCTTTGATGATAAATTGCCCTAGGGCTGAATTAAGCACTGCCATTTCTTAGCTGTCTGGTCTAAGACAAGTTAATTTCTTTAACACACATTTCTCAGCAGTAAAGTAGGGTCATGACAACCTGCAAGTTGTTCATGAGCATTAAATGAGGTAACACAAGCAAGCGTTCCTACTTCTCTCCCTCTTCATCAAATAAGGCATCTTGTAACTCCGTGTGGCGTTCTAACATCTTTTCAAAGTATAATCAATTCACAAATACTGAGGATTTACAATCTGATGCTCATAATAGAGCTGCAAGTGTATGAAACAAGTGAGAGACATGTAATTGGAAATTAACTAAAATACATTAGCAATTTCCATTTTCTTCTTATGTTAACTTGAAGGTGTCTCCAAAGTAGACTACTCTAGGGCACCTGGGTGGCTCAGTTGGCTAAGCAACTGCCCTCAGCTCAGGTCATGATCCTGGAGTCCCAGGATTGAGCCCTGCATCGGGCTCCCTGCTCAGTGGGGAGCCTGCTTCTCCCTCTGACCCTCCCCCGTCTCATGCTCTCTTTTTTTTTTCTTTTAAGATTTACTTTATTTATTTGACAGAGAAAGACACAGCGAGAGAGGGAACACAAGCAGGGGGAGTGGGAGAGGGAGAAGCAGGCTTTCCCGCTGAGCAGGAAGACCGATGCAGGGCTTGATCCCAGGACCTGGGATCATGACCTGAGCCGAAGGCAGATGCTTAACGACTGAGCCACCCAGGCACCACTCATTCTCTCTCTTAAATAAATTTTTTTTAAAAGTATCTTTTAAAAAAGATTTTTAAAAAAACAAAAACAAAATAGACATCTATTTTGCAGTTGCTTATGTAAAAGAGAAAACAAGGGGAGACTTCACAAAAGCTGATTACGAAAAGTAGCCAATTTTGAGAGACAAGGTTGAATTTTCAAAAATGCAATTTTTTTTTCAGTTAATACTTAATAACTGAAGTTCAGTTGGCTAGCCCTAGCCATCACCTGACTTAGCCACCTGTTATGAACAATTATGACCCATTATAGCAAAGTCAATCTCTGAAGTTATGTGATACTTTCTGAATTCTATGCTACCCCTTTTGCAAGATCATTTTTCTCAGAGAACATCCCACAAATATTAAAAAAGTAAATCACTGAATAGATATCCTTTGTATGGTTTTTACTATAAATATGTTTAGTTGCAGACTGATGTCTGTTGAGTGTTAATTAGAGGGGACTATGGAAATAAATTGAGAAGAGATACGCAGTTACACCTTATTCTGCTTTAATAGTGAAGATAACACTTGAATATCAGGAGCCATGACCTCAAATTCTGACCACAAAGCTAAGATGACACTTTATATCTCTAGGCTTCAGTATCCTCAGTGGGGAAAAATATTAGAGTTTTTCCTTATTCCCAGGAAGAAAAGCACAACAGACAATCAGAAATCCTGTTAGTTGTTCCCATATAGTCTGATACCTTAAAAGGGTTATTAGCTCACCATACCATAAAAATGGTTTGGCTTATACTTCAAGAAAATCAAGAATATATTTCTCCTTAGCTAATTCAAAAGTTTACATTTGTTCAGAGTGGCTTCAGACCTCATTCATTCATTCAAGTAATATTCTGTGCTAGGGATTAGGGATAAAGTGTTAGGATGTGCTGGATGCTGCTCAACTTGGAGCTTACAGCCTGTTGGGGTGAGATGGTGAGTAAATAAAGAAACAACATAACTTGATACTCTGTGTATTCTGTAAAGGAAATCAGTAGAATGATGTGACAGAGCACACTTGGGAAAGGTCATGGAGGAAGGATTACTTTAGGGCAGACTAGTTCAAGGAAAGGTCTTCATGGACCTAACATTTACTGACACATGAAGGAAGAAAGGGATCTAGGGAGGTAGAAGCCAGGGATTACAGAACTGGCAACTGTCCTAAGGAAGTAACAGGAAGGAGCCTGAGGCTTGAAACACATTTGGCCAAGAGAAGAACTAAAAGGGATGAAGGGGATGGTGTGGCAGAGGTTGGATCCTGGTGTAGGCTCTGGTAAGAATCTGTGGCACAATGAGAAGTCACTGGAGAGTTTTAAGCTAATGTCAGGCATTTATATATATTTTTTTATTCTTATGTTAATCCCCATACATTACATCATTAGTTTTAGATGTAGTGTTCCATGATTCATTGTTTGTGCATAACACCCGGTGCTCCATGCAGAATGTGCCCTCCTCAATAGCCACCACCAGGCTAACCCATCCTCCCACCCCCCTCCCCTCTAGAAACCTCAGTTTGTTTTTCAGAGTCCATCGTCTCTCATGGTT